GCTAGAAAGGTCGCTGAAGGCTGTGTTTGTGTACAGGACAAGGGGGATGCCACAGGACACAGTCCCCGGTGCCCACGGGGACAACTGTCCCTGGCATATCAGGATTGACCCAGACTGAGCTCCCGAGGGAGGACGCAGCCTTGGGGCTGCAGGGATGCCCGAGGCATCTCATGGAGGCTGGGGGAGTTGTTCTCCTGTTGTGCGGGAGATGTGGAGGATTTCCGTTGCGAAGTTGAGGAGCTACGGGAGGAGGTCAGCACAGTTTGCAGCATCAGGCATGATGAGAAAAAGGTGGATTGAGCCTGAAAAAAGTGCAAGAGCCTGGCCTGTACGAGGGAAGAACTAGGCAGTTTGTTGAGCTGGGAAATGGAGGCTCCCATGATGATGAAGGCTGGAAGCCTGTGACTTGCGGCAGCGGGCAGATGGCTCCTGCTCTACTGCCAGCTCTGCGGTCACAGCACGGGTCGATAGCCTGGCAGCAGGGCGAGGAGACGGGGCCGCGCTCCGTGTGAGAGCGCAGCGGGCATGACCGGAACTCTGCCCGGCAATGGGTCTTGAGCCAGCTGATAGACTGTGGGCCAGGATTAGTGGGCAGACCGAAGTGGACAATATTGTGGTGGTTGTCTGCTACAGACCACATAATCAGGAAGAAGTAGAAGAGGCATTTTTCAGACATCTGGAAGAAGTTTCAGGTTTGCAGGCCCGGGTCTTCCTGGGGCAGCTCAAACACCCTGATACCCACTGGAGGGAAAACACAGCAGGGCAGAAGCTGCATTGCTTTTGGAGCACGCTGAGATTTGGAGGTTTTTGGAGCACGCTGAGATCAACTTCCTAAAACAGGTGCCTGAGGAACTGATGAAGGAAGACGCTCCGCATGACCTCATACTTATGAACAAGCAAGAACTTGTAAAGAATGTGACAAGCAGGGAAAGCTTTGGCTGCTGCAACAAGCAAATGGTGGAATTCAGGATCCTAAGGGGAGGAAGCAAGGCAAAAAGTAGGATTGCCACCCTGCAGAGCAGGCTGACCTGTTCAGGCATCTTGGAAGAATACCAGGGGATAAGGCCCTGGAGAGAAGAGGGGTCCAGGACGCTTGGCTGTTTTTCAAGAATTGCCTCATCCAAGTTTAAGAATGGCCCATCCCATTGGTCAGGAGATCAAATAAATGTGGCTGGAGGCTTGCATGCGTGAGCAATAACTGGTAATAGTATGAATTTACACAGGGGAAATTATACTTAACCAACCTGATAGACTTCTACAGTGAAATGGCTGGCTTGGTGGATGATGAGAGGGTAGTTGGTATTATTCCTTTTGTCTTTAGTAAGGCTTTTAGCACTGTCTCCTACAACATCCTCATTGGCAAGCTGATGAAGTACAGGCTAAATAAGTGGACAGTGAAGTGGACTGAAAATTGACTGAACTGCTGGGCTCAAAGGATTGAGGTCAGTGACATAAAGTCTAGCCAGAGGCCAGTCACGGGATGTTCCAGGGGTTGATATTAGGACCAATGCAGCTTAACACCTTCATTACCGACCTGGAAGCTGGGACAGAGTGAACTCTCAAGAATTTTGAAGATAATGCAGAACTGGGAGGAGTTGTTGATATACTAGATAGTTGTGCTGCCATCCAGAGGTACCTCGACAAGCTGGAGAAATGGGATGACAGGAACCTCATGAAGTTCAACAAAGGGCAAAGCAGAGTCCTGCACCTTGGTAGAAACAGCCCCACATACCAGTACATGCTGGGGGCCACCTAGCTGGAAAGCAGCTTTGCAGAGAAGATCTTGAAGGTACTGGTGGGACCAAGAAGTACATCATGAGCCAGCAATGTGCCCTTTGCAGCAAAAAAGGGCAATTTTTTGACCTTTGAAAGGTCCAAACCCTTGGGCTGCATTATGCAAAGCGCTGCCAGCAGGTCAAGGGCAGTGTTCTTTCCCTTCTGCTCAGCACTGATGAGACACATGTGGGGTGCTATGCCAGCTCTGGGCTCACCACTACAAGAGAGACATGGAGCAAGTGCAGCAAAGGGCCATGGAGATGATTAAGGGATTGAATTGAAGGGACTGAAACAATTGTCAAATGAGGAGAAGCTGAGAGAGCTGGGACTGTTCAGCCTGGAGAAGAGAAGGCTTAGGAGGATCTTATCAGTGCATGTAAGTACCTCATGGAGGGAGAAAAGAAAAAGGAGCCAGATTCTTCCTAGTGGTGCCCAGTGACAGGACAAAAAGCCATGGGCACAAACCAAAATGCAGGGCATTTTGTTTAAACATAAGAAAACTATGAAGATGGTCAAATACTGGTACAGGTTGCCCAAAGAGGTTGTGGAGTCTGTCTTTGGAGATACTAAAAAACTGACTGGGCACACCCTGAGGTGACCTTGCTTTGAGCAGGAGATGTTGGACAAGACAATCCCCAGAGGTACCTTCCACCTTGGTGATTATGTGAAGGCATGTTGTGTGTGGAAAAATTCCACAGCTGACATCATGATTGAATCACCAAGAGCTCTACTGTAAACCCTTCTCCCAGAATTCCTTTTGCTGTTAAATTTTTTTTCAATTCAGGGAGAAGAGAACAGTTATTCCTATATAAGCAAGCTTAATATAACAAAAAAAAAAAAGCATCTATGCACTGGAGGCATAGCTATACCATAAACCCTTACAGCAGAGGAGGCCTTAACCTTAAGACGTGCAATAATATGCCATCCCAATGTATCCGTCATGCTCTATGGCACCTCTCATATAGAGTTCATATAGGGACATTTCTGTTTCAGTATTGGTAGGCATGAATACTATGTTGAACTACTTTTTTGGGGGTTTGTTTTTTTTGACTACAGTGGGGCCATCACCAAATCGCTGGCTGTATTTCTAGGAATTCTCTTTTTTTTTTTTTTTTTCAGAAAACTGAGTCCTAAGTGATGTTTGTGCCTAATGATAAAATCTCAGGCCAATCAATTTTTTTTTTCATTGCTACTATTATGTTTCTAAGATCGTTTATTGATGATGCCAGCAGTATTGGTCTACATTAGGATGGCACAGGTTGTTTCAGAGTCAACATGTGGCACTGCATGGAAATTAAACATGGGCTTTTCAAAGGAACCCCAGAAGTGTAGTCATCTAAGATGGTATTTTCAAAAAGCTCTGACATGTCATGTAAGTATCAAAAATGTTGTTAAAAGCATTTTCTGTCAATTTGGTAGGACTCAAGCTGGCTTATTTGGAACCTTGGATTTAAATTAAATGTCTATGGTTGCTTCTGAAAATCCCACTGAGAAGATAAGGCTGAAAAATGCTGCTTGAACAATCAAGTCATGCTCCTCTTGACCATTAGTGTCTCTGCTGCCCACTCACGTGACTGTCTGCACTGATATTAGCCTCCTTCTGTGTCTGTCTTCCCGATTACTTTGGGTGTCTGGAGTTGTTCCCTAGTGCCTTCCTTAAACTTTTCCTTCATTAGCTTCAATCCATTACTCGCCATTCTAACTTCTCCTGAGACTGAATAATTCCTTTCTCTCTTTTTGTTGCCTTGAAATTATTTATAGTCTGTGATCACGTCTCCCTGGGTTTACTCTTGTCTAGACTAAATATATTTAGCTCTTTTACTGTCACTCTGCGTGTCTTACAACGTCGTTTGTTATCTATCCTTGTTTTCTCGAGGTTTTCAGTACCTTTCCTAAGCTGAGAAAAATAGTACTAAATATATCATTCCAGAGAAGTCACGCCAAAAGTATGTTAAATGACATTATTAGCTCCACAGTGTTACATGCTATTTCATGTACATGCTACTGTTAACAATACCACCCTAAGCTAATCTACTTTTCTTCTGGGCAGAAAGTTGAATTAATTCACTGCAAACTGCTGTAAGGGCCAAATCCAACAGTCACTTCTCACATCATAATAACTGTGAAATTTCCAGTGGAGCAGATCTGAATCTTTTTCTAAGACAGTTTCCTTCTGTCCAAAAATACAGTTTTATTGAACTTGAAGCTTTGCTACACTAAGTGACAATTTAAAAAAAATAATGTTTTTTAAGTTTGTTGGTGAAGTCTGACCAATATTTTCTGCTGAGGCATGTGTTTTATCCTGTACAAAGTGGAGAAAGAATAAAAGGTTCTATATTCAAGCACAACATTTCTTGGAAATTTTTTTTTTTTTTTAAAGCAACCCTGTTTTAAAGGAAATTTTGAAATTCTTTCTGTATTTTTTTATTTGGAAGAAACGAACACGTTTGAATGGCAGATTCTCGTGCAGAAGGAGACTAGTTAGTTCAGTTTTAATTTAAGGCCCACCTCCACCAAATAACTCATTATGACTCATTCTAGCTCATGATCTAGTAGGTTTTTCTGTTTGGACTATGATTTCACATACTGAGGTACTGGTATGAACATTTAATGCATACACTCTGCCTCTGTCACAATCAGGCTGATGGTACTAATCCTTTTCACTGCTAACTGTACATGCTCACTTTGAAATGAGACCATCTTTCTTAGAAATACGCTAAAATTTGGTAGTATGCTTAGGTAGACATTAACATTGAAACAGAGCTTGTTTGCAAGGGCTCCAGAGGACAGAAGAAGTGAAAGAAGCTTTTAGTGAATAATGACAGGGTCCTTTAAAGTGATGTACATGATTTATGGAAACAGATACCCAAAGACTTACTCTGTAGTCACTGGATGTCACATAAAATATGGGGAGAAAGGCCAGCCAAATGATGCACGTTGTGTACATTGTGAAACCGATAAACTTGGCTTCGTTGAAGTTCTCTGGACACTTCCTTGTTTTGAAGGCATATACAGTGCATAAGACTACGAGGATTACATCATATGTTAAGGAGATTAACATACTGGAGTCTTTCACATTGCATTTCAATATGACACTCTCTCTCTTCTCAGGAAGGGTGTACCGCCTGGTGCCAGGAGCCTCCAAGATGAGCCACACAGACACCACTACAATCTGTACCAAAATGAGACTCAGGCAGATGAAGACCTGAGAGCTGGGGCTGATAAACTTAGGCCTTTGAGCACCGTTCTTTACACCATCAAATATTCTGGCTATGCAGTTTGTTTTTGTCAGAAGGGCGGAGTAGCAGACAGCGAAGGAACTTCCTAGCCCCAAACGACGCAGGGTGCAGATAGCTGGAGAAGGCTTGGCTATGAAGAAGAAAGTCATGCTGTAAGACAGGAAGACCCCAAAGAGCAATATGTAGCACAGTTCACGGCCAGAGGCTTTGACCAAGGGGGTATTGTTGTGCTTGATGAACACTGCAATGACCATAAAAGTACAAATAAAGCCCAGGCATGCAATGGTAACAGGACCTATTGCCCAAGCATCTTCCCACTTGATGTAGTCTTCTGGTAGGTCATAACAGCCAGTCAGGTCAGCCGTGGGCCATTTTCCAGGCCCGCAGTCTGCACAGGTAAATTCATCAGCCAGGTACTCATAGGTTTCACAGGGAATACAAATCCAACAGCAGACATCTCCTGGTTGCATATTCTTCATCTCGTTAGGAGCACAGGGGTCACTGCACTGGGAGACGGGGACAGAGCTCCTGGACCAGTGGATAGAGTCTACCTCAAGTGACAAGGTTTCTGCCCAGTGACCAACCTTCACATAGGAGTATCTGCCTCCAGTGTATTGGAAATTGAACACGTTGTATCGTCCTATCCCATCTCCATAGGCATCGAATTTGACCATACTGTCTGCAGCATTGGAAGGGTTGAACGGTGCTGTGAAACAACAAGAAATAGAGAATGTTATTACCAAACCAGCGAATGACTTTTTTCATCCTTTTGGCAAGCACAGATACCTGACAGCTTATAGAAACCAATTCAGGTGCCAACTGGTAAGTCAAGAGGTCTGTACCTGTCTAATTTTTGAAAAGTTTTTGCCCTGTTTGAACTTGGAAGAAGAAAAGAATTCAGGTAGTAGAACTCTATTTCACTTTACTGCATGAGCAATATTTGTGAATGTGGAAAGTTCATTAGATTACCTTATGTGTCCTTACTTTTTTTGCCCCATATACAAATGAATTCTCCCATTATTTCCCCCAATATGCCCAATTGCTACCTTTCACATTTTCTCTTGAAAGAAAGAGGTCTGCTTCTAACTGAAACAGGATTATTTGGTGAAAATTTGCTGTCATGATATAAGGAAATTTAAATGGCCATATAAATAAACATCAGTTTTGAGGCCAACTCTCTGGAATGCACTTGAACAGAGGATTAATTTTGAGGGTAATGGAGAAGTACCTATGAAGTCCTCAACAATTTCTTACTATGTCTTTTTCACTTCCCCCTGTATTGTAGGAATCTTTGAATCCCTTCTATTTTACTTCAATTTTACCAGTTTCTGAAATTTCTTGTCTGGTCTGAGGTTCCCAGCATGTGCTGCTTTGGTCCTATATCTTGTTTGGGGAATGGATGAAAATAACACAAAATGGATCTGTGACCTTCTGTGAAATCAATATTGTAACACTTCAAGCTGGTAAGCTCTAGAGAGTTTTTGTTTTTTTCCTCCAGCTGAGGCTCATGCAGGGAATGAAGAAATATTTAAAATGTAGGAGGAAATTTCATTTACCATGTGATTTATTGGTCATTTGCTGTAGCATCAAAAGCGAATAGCTTTATAGGCAGGAAGCAAAAGGGGGTTTTTTTGCCATTGATGAACAATAAAGGTGATTTCATTCCCCAGTGTCTTTGGTAACAGAAGTGGTTCCACTGTCATTGCTGGAATAAATCTTTTTCTCTGCATCTGTGGCCATGCTGTGCTCGAGCATGAGCAATATTGTATAAGGATGTAATATCTTCCTCCACTTCAACTCCAGATACTTTGGATTTCTTGCAGTAGATTTATTTAGCTTCTATAAAGCACTGAGGCCAAATTCTTTCACCTTTATTCCTGCAGAGCATTACCTGATTTTGCAATATTTCCACTAAGGTCAATAAAAGGGACAGTGGTTTTTTGGCACAGAAGCCCTGATTGGAGGGTTGATGCATAACCTGCGCCTTCCCAGGTGCTGAACTTGGAGCGCATTTCTTTCCAAAATTTCTTCTTGTCTTAGGGCAAGGTTGGAAGATAGTTTACGCCCAGCTATAGTCTCCTCTGGGTTTGAGCCAAGACTTTGCCTGTCCTTATATCTGCCCTCTTCCGCAGTTTACCACCTCACCTGTGTCAACTACAGTGGTGGACAGCCTTGGTTTGCAGGATTACAGACTAGATCTGGGTAAGTCAGGAATGCATAAGAGGATCATTTTCTCTTTTTCTTCACTGTTGGCATCTAGTGGTACCATTGTCTGGCCCAACAAGCCTTCTGAATGCACAAAAATCAAGGGCAGCATAATACTCCCCAAAATGGCCAGTCCTCCTGGAAATAACATGCTCTAAATTAAACAGGTAGCTAAAATCAAAATGTAGGTCAACAAGAAGAATATTAAGCAGTTTCCTTTCTCTCCCTCCTCCTCCCCATGCACAGGCATGCAATCTCTCTCATCCAGGAGCAGCATTAAAATGAAATCATAATGCAGCACTTACTTAACAGTTCTTCAATAATGTGTTGTCATTGCCAGTGTCTTATTTCATTAGTCATAACACTTATAGAGATTGTAGGAGCTGTTCACACGGCAGCCCAGTTCTAAGAGTCAGTTTATTCAATTCAGTGTTATACAGGCCAGCTGCTGAGGTGTGTTGAGAGCCTGCGACTTCTACTGGCTCCAGTGGAGCCACAGGTAAGCAAGACAAACTGCAGACTGGCTGCATGCCTTATCTTCTGTCAAGTGCATAACAAGTGCACGAGTACCCCAGTGCAAGGTATGCGAGGGTCAGAAATATCAGCGCTTTTCAGGAAAGAGCTCCCTCTGTGTAAGATGCTTAACAACTTCTCAGTTGTGATAAAATATTTATCATTTAAGTAGAGCAAAGTATTCGCCTTGGGCTTTGCAGGTAGGTCCAGAAGGCAAAGCAGGTAATCTCATGCATAGTTAGCTTGAAGCTCATGTATATGTTGCCTTCCATGGGGTTGTTCCCACAGCACAAATATGAAGAAAAGGTTTTTGTAGGAAAATGTGTTTTAAGTCAACCACAGCTTGTAGCTTGAAACATTAATTTTTAGTGGTTGCTGATAGAGGAAAATAAATCACATTCAGATGGAGAGGATGAAATCATTTAACTAAACAATGATATGTTAAATTATAGTATGGTAAACCAAAGCCTACAAATGAGCCCACTGGGTGGCAGCAATTAATATACTCACTGATTACACAAAACATCACTAAGGCATTTTAACTGATATTTATTGACATATTCTAGATCCTGTAGAACCATTTCAAAAAATTCATGTTTTCAGAAAATATTATCTAATTTGAGACAGCCAGCATGGCTTCACCAAAGGAAAGTCCTGCCTGACCAACCTAGTGACCTTCTATGATGGAGTGACCACATCAGTGGACAAGGGAAGATCTCTCAATTTAATCTATCTGGACTTCTGAAAGGCCTTTGACACGGTCCCCCACAACTTCCTTCTCTCTAAATTGGGGAGACATGGACTTGATGGGTGGACTGTTGGGTGGATGAGGAACAGGGAGTATACCAAATAGGTAGTGCATCCAGATGGTAGTGGTCAATGGCTCAATGTCCAGATGTCCTCATGACGTTCAACGAGGTCAAGTGCAGGGTCTTGCACCTGGGTCGGGGCAAACCCCAGTATCAGTACAGGCTGGGGATGAAGGGATGGAGAGCAGCCCTGCCCAGAAGGACTTGGGGGGACTGTTGGAGGAAAAGCTGGACATGAGCCGGCAATGTGCGCTCACAGCCCAGAAGGCCAGCCATGTCCTGGGCTGTACCCAAAGCAGCGTGGCCAGCAGGGCGAGGGAGGGGATTCTGCCCCTCTGCCCCGCTCTGGGGAGACCCCCCTGCAGTGCTGCGTCCAGCTCTGGAGCCCTCGGCACAGGAGAGACATGGACCTGCTGGAGCGGGGCCAGAGGAGGCCCCAGCAATGCTCCGAGGGCTGGAACAGCTCTGCTGGGAG